TGGTCTCCTCCAGCTGCACGATGGTGGCCTGGCAGTCGGAGATGCTGTCGTTGATGTAGTCGATGTTGGCCGCCAGCGCCTCCATCTCCTCCGCCAGCTCCTGCAGCCCCTTCTCCTCGGGGCTCTCCGCCTGCAGCCGCTCCCGTTTCTGCCGCAGCGCCTCCTGCAGGAGGAACAGCTCCTCCCTTTTCTGGGGGGGCATCGGGGAAGGCCTCAGGGTGCTGTCCAGCCCTGCCCACAGCTGCCCCCTTGGCCCCCGCGTAGCCTCATGGGGACCCCCAGCACTTCTGCATTCGAGAGCTGCCATGAGGATCGGGGACGGGGGACGAGAAAGGTCAGAAGAGCCTGCCTGAGCCGTCAAAAGTGACAGCGGACAGCCCGGCCGGCGTGGCTCAGGGGTTGAGCATCCACCTATGAACCAGGAGGTCAGGGTTCGATTCCCGGTCAGGGCACAGGCCCAGGTTGTGGGCTGGATCCCCGGTAGGAGGCGTGCAGGAGGCAGCTGATCCATGATTCTCTCTCATCATGGATGTTTCTAACTCTCTCTCACTTCCCTTTCCTCTCTGAACTCAGTAAAAAATATATATATATTTTAATGTGACAGCAGATGGCAGAGGGTTGCAGATGGGAGGGAGGGGTGCAGAGGGAGGGAGGGGTGCAGGCAGGAGGGAGGGGGGCAGAGGGAGGAGGGGTGTAGAAGGAGGGAGTGTGAAATTATGACAATTGAATAAAACTTAAATCATTAAAGTAGTCTATGTGGAGTACGTGCAGGAAACCTAATAAAGAGATTTTTGAAGCTCACTTTTTTTGGGACACATTTTTCCAGTACATAGTTGGGGTGCGGGAGGAGTGCAGAAGGAGGGTCAGCGCCCACCTTGATGAGCCGCTCCATGTCGGCCTCCAGGTTGACGAGGGTCATCCTCTGCATGACGATGTCGATGACCCTGCGCTCCAGCGACTGCCACTTGAGCCGCGCGGCCTTGCTGAAGCTCTGGCCGGCCCCCTTCTTCTGGAACTTCTTCCTGGAGACAGAGGCCCCCGTGAGCTGACAGCCACGGGTTGCCACGGGGAAGGGGGGGGG